GCAGCAAAACTTCATAGATGGGACTTCGTAGTTCATATTACAGCACACAGGAGGCACACGATGTATGCCTGTTCCACCTTTAGAGTCGCTAGTGTTTATTAAGGATGACAGTCAGTCTTTCCAGTATCAATTCCCCCACTGATAGGGTGACTATAGCAGTTTACCTGGATCTGTCCCAGTTTATGACTGTTCTGAGGGTGTCTTGCTCAGTGTAATCATTTGTTTTAGATTTTTTAGTTTTAAACAGACTATTATTATTAATAATTGCACTAACATCAGCTAATACTTTGTATTTCTAGCTTCCACCATACTCTCATCTAGACATGTGGGGTACAAGCATGTAGTGAGTAGAATTCTTACTTTAACATGTGGCTAATGTAGTTGGCAACCAGCAATAACCCACTTACAGATGGAATGTTCTCTTTCAGACCATCCAGGGTGTTTGTTGATAAAACAAAGTGTGCTCAGATACAACTAGCTGGAGACAGCTAATTCCATTCAATTTCAGATGGTGGTGGAAGATAGATTCAATGTTAGTGCCCTCATCAGACACTTGGTTTACCACATAGTTGGACAGTGGCCTGTGCTATAGCCACCAGGCTGTTGGTCACTGTGGGCACTGGGAAATTTGGGATTGTAAAATAGGTGTACAGGAAATGTATATAGAAGTAGAGGCTGTATTGTTCTGCCACAGAGAATAGGAAAAGTAGTCTGAGTACTTTGGCATTATCATTTACTGTATATTTACTGTATGATTAAATGACTACAACTATTTAGTTATTTATTGAGATAGGGACTCACTCTGTCACCCAGGCTGGAATGCAGTGGTGCAGTCACATCTCACTACAACCTCTGTCTCCCAGACTCAAGCAATCCTCCTGCCTCAGCCTCCTGAGTAGCTGGGACTACATGCATGCATCATTATGCCTGGATAATTTTTTGTAGAGATGGGATCTCCCTATTATGCCCAGGCTCTCCCTATCTTGTCCAGCTGGTCTCTAGCTCCTGGACTCAAGCAATCTTCCTGCTTTGGCCTCCCAAAGTGCTAGGATTAAAGGCATAAGTCACCATGCCTATCTTATTTATTTGCTTTTGATAAACTCACTTGGTAGTAAAAATCTAAAAAAATGGTGGTCTGTGTTTAATAAAAGCTTAAGTAATACATTTTTACTTCTTAAAAAAGTTGATGAATGGGTAACTTGCCCCCAATGATTGTGAATATTTGCCACCCATCATGGGGCCCATAGTGATATTACTGACTGTTAGAGGTGGCGAGTCTTGACTAGGAGCTGTCCAGATTTTAGATGTATTGAACAAAGAATTGTACATAATGCACAAACCAAGCAATGAAAGACAAAAGCATAGATTTATTGAAGTGAAAGTACACTCCACAGAACAGGAGCCTGCTGGAACAAGAGGCTCAAAAACCCCAGTTGCAAATCTTCTGGGGTTTAAGTGCCCTTTAGAATTCCTATTGGTTACTCCCTATTTAAATGGAGACTTGGCCTGCAACCAGTTGGAGGCTGAAGTGAAGGCTTGACCTGTGACCAATCAGAGGCTGAAGTGAAGTTATACCCCATGCAAATGAAGACTTGGCCTCTGACCAATTGGAGGCTGAAGTGAAGTTGCCTCCTGTGCAAAGAAAGACTGGGGTAGCAACCAATCAAATGCTAAAGTGAAGACTCCCTGTCTCTAGACCCTATTCTGTCTCACTGACCACATGAAAAGAAGACAAAAATCTCATGAAGAGGCTTCAGCATCTGCTTCAAAAATTGGTAGTTATTTTAAGAAGACTGTGCCTAAAGATGACAATTTAGCACGTGCAGTTGCAGAAGATGGTTTTACACATCACTTGGTTAATCATGACTTTTCATTTAGATCAAAGAACTAGTCTTCTAAACTAATCTTGCTCATTTGAAATTCCAAATGTTCTAATTCGTTCGTAGAAAGTGAAATGATGGCTCTTTATATTTTCATGACATTAGCAGAACTTTGTAACAAATAAATGAAGATTGATTAAAATAAATGTCCTCAGAGCCTTCAAATTGAAGTTAGTTAATTCCAATAATGTTTGTGTTTTTCATCTGTTTCATGGAATCAAAATAAAGCTTTCGGAAGTTCACTCTGTTGAAGGGAATATTATTGTAATAAAGTTATTGTAAATAAAGTTTGATATTAGAGATAAAATTATTTATATTTATGGAGATAAAGACAAATACAAATTTTGGTGGGACCAAGTATTGTGGTCAAAGCAATGTTTTTACTAAGAGTTTATGAGGCATAAATCTGTGAGTAATTGTTATATACACATGATTATAATTTCATTCAAACAAGCTACAACATTTTACCAACCAAAACAGAAGCTGGAGTTGTCAAAATTTACAAATATTTATACTTTATCACAGTTGCAGTAATTGAGCTACATTTTTGTGATAGTTTTTTTGTATTTTTTTTTTTAAAGATGATGCTTTCTGTCTTCACTGATAACTCTGAGCTGGAGTTTAGTTATGCTTGAGCCTTTGAGGAATGACTTTGTAAAATAACCTTTGTATTCTACAAGGGCATGAATTTTCTCTTAATGTTTCTGATAAATTTGGGTTATAGCTTGTTTAAAATCAGCTGGAAGTTTTTAATCATTGTATTCAAAGGATGACACCAAAATCTTCAGCTTTTGAAGTTTTTGGTGAATTATAATTATTGAGAGAAAAGCTTGCCTGGGAAGGCATTAGAATTCACCTCTATAAAAGGCTAGAGAAAAACAGAACGAATTAAACAATAAAAATTCAAACGGTATTTAAAATTTGATTTTGAATTACTATAAGTGCACTTTGGAATATATTGAATTGCAGGAAGAACTTTTTGATGAAATTTTAACTAATTGTAAGTCTATATTCTGTATTGAAAGAAGGTCTTTGATTTGTAGCCCCTACCTTGGGTGAAATGTTGAAAATATTCATAGAGACAATGTATTTCATGAGTTTTACCTTGTAGAAATAGTTGTTGAAAAATAGGGGCAAATAACAAATCTTTAAAAAATACCTGGGCTGAAATATTTACACATTTAAAAATGAACAATGCATTCTCTTTTTTTTTTTTGAGATGGAGTCTTACTCTGTCACCCATGCTGGAGTGCAGTGGTGCCATCTTGGCTCACTGCAACCTTCAGTTCCCTGGTTCAAGCAATTCTCCTGCCTCAGTCTCCCAAGTAGCTGGGATTACAAGCATGTGCCTGGCTGACATAACATTTTTTGCATCTAAGAATAGGTGTCAGTGGAAGTGCTGAGAGGGGAGGCAAATTTACATTTTTAATGTGCCTCTTCATGTGAGGACAAAATGTTATCCTTTCCAAGAAACTGAGTGTTTTTTCCAGGGTATTATGTCATACTGGGGGCTCAGTGTTGGCCTCTGAGTTTGGGGAGCTGGCCTCTGGTATGGTGGCTAGATCATATGTGGTGAAGGAAGACTGACCGTGCTGTCAAGCATGCACAGCCTCCATGGAGCAGGCCCTGGAGTGGCTGACTGAGAGGCTTTGAGTGGGCTCTTCTTTCTACCTGGCTACTAGGACACTCCTCTGTCAGAGGACATGTCCTCTGGCTGACATGTACATGAGCTATAAACATCTTTGTGTTCCATGCTCATTCTAAAAGAGCCACCTACATGAATCTACCCCAGAGTTCCTTGTCACTAATTTTCAATTCTTTCCAAGTCTGTGAGCAAGCAGCCAAGCCATTAGCTGTTGCCTGTGAGTCATTACAGATTTGTATCCCAGGCCATTTCTCCTTCCGCATGAAGTGGAAGACTAGATGCACCACTCGAAGTTCTGCCTACCACGATAATTTGCCTTCATCACTGCCTTTCAGGGTCATCCCTAAAAGTGTAGTATGAAAAGCATCCACTTCTGGCTCATGCCTGCACACCATGAGGATTCATTTGTAGACAAGGACTGTGCTTTATCTTCCCCTGGTAACTGGATATAGGGGACTCTCCCTGAGGTCACAGGTGTGGATAAGGGTGAGGTCGTGGAGCAGCTGTTGCTGGAGTCATGGCAGTGAGAGGCAGCTGTTGGTACAGTTTGCCCATGCTTTCTGGACCTGCTTGGGCTGGTTTCCTATATACTAACTACTTCCAATTTGTAATGGGATGTTGCTGTGCATGTCTGATTTGATGGTTTGGTGAATTTGATTCATGATGGACTGTTGGGTTGCATAGCCAAGTTGGTATCTCCTGGTGAAGTATAAAGCCTCTACCAGGGCCCAGTAGCCAGACATTGGCTGCTTTTAGGATGGAGAATAGTTGTCAGCAGAAGAGAGCATTGGGGCTTGCCAGCCACCCCAGTGGAGCTGCACCAGCACTTTCCATGCCAGTGGGTCTGTTGGTAATAAGGTTTAAGTGGCAGGGCAGCTTGCACCACAGCATGAACCTGCTGAAGAATCCTTTTTTGATTTCTGCTCCACTCAAAACTGTCAGTCTTATGATTTTCCTGGCAAATAAACTGTAATCACACATACCCATATATGCCTCCCCAAACAAAAGTATCATGCTTTTTTTGTGCAGCAACTTGGCTCTTACTTTGGAGGGAAGTTCTCCCCCCACTGCACTCCACTGGAACCCTAAAAACTTCTATATTACAGGTTCACATGAAGTTTCACAGGGGTTATCGCCTGACCTTTGGCATGTGGATGTCTCCTTAGGCATCTAAGATCCTCATATGATCTGCTCATAAGACCAAATAGCATAATGTCATCAGTGTAATGGACTGGCATGATGTTCTGTGACATATCAAGTTCATCACAATTCCGCCAAGCTATGTAGATACAAAAGCTGACCTAGTTCTCAGGGTCAGGGCTCAGGGGTCAGGTAACAGTAAGTGTTGGTCCTGACAGTAAAGCTGCGACAAATGAAACTGCAGCTTTGATTGTCATTATTGTCATTATCATTACCGGATTTTTTTGGTGATAATCTATAGTCATTCTTCATAACTCATCTGATGTTTGTTCTAGGCAAAATTAGGGATGTGATGGGAACCAACATCGCTTTGTCTCTCTGGGCTTTGATGGTGGCACTGATGTCTCAAAGCCCTCCAGGTATGCATTTTGCCTTTGCTTTTCTACCGTAGCTGAGAGTGGGCACTGGGGAGAGGATGATAGCTGCTGGGGTTTCCACTTGATTCTTCCTACCATAATTTAGCCTTCACTCAACAGGTTAGGAAACAAGTGTAGAGATTTTGCTAGTTACTCTGTTGTACCTATTTCTGCTGTACAATACATCTGGATTTGAGGATTTGAGGATGGAGCTACCAGATAGGTCCACAGTCCCATCGGCCCTACAGTTACATGGACCCGGGCCACACCGTTTCCAACGCTTTCTTTCTTTCTTTTTCTTTTTTAAAAAATTATACTTTAAGTACTGGGATATATGTGCAGAATGTGCAGGTTTGTTACATAAGTATACATGTGCCATGGTGGTTTGCTGCACCCATCAACCCGTCATCTACATTAGGTATTTCTCCTAATACTATCCCTCCCCTAGCCCCCAACACACCCTGCAGGCCATGGTGTGTGATGCTGCCCTCCGCGTGTCCATGTGTTCTCATTGTTCAACTCCCATTTGTGAGTGAGAACATGTGGTGTTTGGGTTTCTGTTTCTGTGTTAGTTTGCTGAGAATGATGGATGAATTCCAGCTTCATTCATGTCCCTGCAAAGGACACAAACTCATCCATTTTTATGGCTGTATAGTATTCCATGGTGTATATGTGCCACATTTTCTTTATCCAGTCTATCCTTGAGGGGCATTTGGGTTGGATTTGGGTTGGTTCCAAGTCTTTGCTACTGTGAACAGTGCCACAATAAACATACATGTTCATGTGTCTTTATAGTAGAATGATTTATAATCCTTTGGATATATACCCAGTAAAGGGATTGCTGGATCAAATGGTATTTCTTTTCTAGGTCCTTGAGGAATTGCCACACTGTCTTCCAAAATGGTTGAACTGCTTTACACTCCCACTAACAGTGTAAAATGTTCTATTTCTCTACATCCTCTCCAGCTTCTGTTCTTTCCTGATTTTTTAATGATCGCCATTCTAACTGGCATGAGATGGTATCTCAATGTGCTTTTGATTTGCATTTCTCTAATGATCAGTGACTTTCATTAGGCCCTACTATAACGCCCACACTGGGATTTTGGATTTCTGTGTGGCCAGTGTGTGTATAACCAGAGAAATCTAAATAAGGTTTGTGGATCATACCAATGTTAATTTCTTGACTGTGCTATTGTGCTGCAGTTGCGTAAGATTTTGGCATTGGGAGCAGAGGAGTTGTGTGTAGAACTTCTCTATAATCTTCTGAACCTACAATTATTTAAAAGAAAAGAAAATTTTAACAGATGTAAAAGTGTTTGCTTTGCTAGACTATTGAGAGGATTAGAGGAAAATGCGTATAGTATTATAATGCCTAGCACAGAGTAGGTTTTTAATCCATTATATTCACACACACACACACACACACACACACACACCCCTGAATGCTTGACATTCCTAGCCTCCCACCAGTTCAAACCTGAGTTGGTTGCCCATTGGCTGTATTACCCACGCCCTACACTGTATTCTTAGTTTCCCTCTTGAACCAGGGTACCACTGATAGAGCAGCTGTCTGAGACAATGCCTACATCATTGGCCTCTAACCCGAGGAGCTCCCTGGCCACTCTGGGGTGTGATGGTAGCCACAGACTCACTCCACAGTGCCTGGACTGAGCGAGATCCAGTGAAGCAGCCCCACTCATGGTGGCACAGGGTGGTGGTAGTGGTGACAGTGGGAAGAGTTGGGTTTAGAAATAGAGGCTCCTGGGATGAGGATGCTGAGAAGAAGGCCAGGGGGCGATTGGAAACTCCACCCTGGCCGCACCTCACAGAACTGTGCCTCTGGCCACTCACGGACAGTTCTGCCGTGAGAGATGGGCCGCTGCTCATCTTCCTACTGATGCTTGTTGAAGAGCTTGGGCACGATGTCTAAATACGTAATTAAAGTTAATCTTGTTGCCATTACCTTATTCATTACAGTGATTTTTCTGGTGGCTTTTATGGATCATTGTAAAACTGGTTTTGAATGAAATATGTCTCCTCACTTTTCCTGTCTTAATTTTTAAGAGTGCCTATATTCTTTGGTTGCTAAGTAACATGCCTATAATGTGTTATCACAGTGGTTCTATCTGAATAATTTCAGTAATCACTTAGGAGATTGCTTTAATAGTATATCATCTTAAATGGGAACAAACGACTAATTCTAGGCTGTTTGGAGAAAAGTGACTGAAGCATTTCCTCAAAGACAGGAGGTTTGTCAGCCAAGGAAGATAGAGCACGTAACCCCTAACTCGGGGCAGTTCTCGTTGAGAAGTTTCCCCCTGCCTCCAGTATCTCCAGCTAGAACACACATTCTCCAGGAACTTCCAAAGTTTCAACGAACCCAGGAATCCAGAAGAGGAATTTTTAAAAAAGGAATATTTGAGAATATTCAGGAACATTTTTCTGTCATGACTGGAAAAATCGCAGTTATACAACCATAAATGCAGAGGTGACATGCAGAAGTAAGGCAGTGTCGGTCTTGTGAAAGCCGGGCAGAAACACAGGCAGCATTAACTATAGAGCTGTTATTATGGTGAACCCATGGGAGCCCCTGGATCTGAGACCAGTCGGCGAGGCTGCAGATGCAGCTCTCCGAAGTTGAATTTTCTTCTTCCTCCTAGACGAGCATCCTGGAACAGAAAGCCAGGAGTGCAGAAATGTGATCATCTGAGCCAGAGACCAACAGGACTAAGGTTGTGAATCTGAGCCCCAAACGCAGGCAAAGTGTGTGTTGTTCCCATGTTCAGATCCTACCCCAACCCTGAGTGTGTCATGGAAGCCTACAGTCTGGGTTGGGTCTACAAATGGCATGAGATACATTCAGATTTCTCTTGTTCTGCAGGAGTATCTTCCTCAGGCTTCCCTTTTCACCCTTCTTGACTGGATGTTTTCCCTACTTCAGCACTGAACTTTCACTGTTTCTGTGGTCTCACCTCTTATTCACTTTTCATCCAGTTGTCATCTAGATCCCCACCCTCCTTCCCAATTAGGGACTAAACTGCCCTTCCTAACATCAATCTGGTGTCCCTAATGCCGGCTTCCCCCACCTACCTTCAACCTCCCACCTGACGGGCACCTCTCCTGCACCTGCTGTGGGGCACAGTCATGCCTCAGCGTCCTTCCTTTCCCTCTTTCTGCAACTCCATCTCCTACTTCTCCTATTTCTCTCCCTGTTTCTTCTTGGTCCCCTCACTGCCTGCTCTTTGTCGTTCCACTCTAGGATTGTTGGGGTTCTGGAGGATTCATTCTTTAGCCCTTCCTTTCTTTGCCTCTGTCCTGGCCACTCTTCTCCCCCAAACCCAGAGCATCTTATTTGTGATACTTTGTGCCACATGTTGCACAGAGATGAACAAAACACAATTCCTGACCTCACGGCACACACTAGATCTAGAGGGAAAGACAGGCAAGGAAATAAGGAAAAGTAATAAAATGTTGGTGGTTCCATGGTACAAGTTTGGATGATATGTTGGGGGTAAAAATTCATTCTTACATGATGGGGAAGTACAGGCAAAGAACAATGCTCCATTGGAGGACTTACCATGTTGCATAATAATTAGAAGTGAAGGGTTGTCAGGTATAAGGCCTGCATAATAATGCACACAGAAAATGAATAAACTCATGTGTGTGTGTGTGTGCGCACGCACGCACGCATTTCTGGGCTGGGGCTGGGGTACTGGGGCAGGGGTTGGGATAGCTGAGGCAGAATGGAGGAGGCATCTAAGTGTCTTGGGAGAGTGCTGTTTCCCAATTCTGTAAAAATACCTCTTTATTTTAACATCCTGTACAGCCATACAGGAACATTGCTGCCTTCTTCCTTGGACTGGGAATTCCATGAGGACAGACTACATCTTAAGATTATTTCTGTGAGCCTAGCTCTTAGTATAGTACTCTGTTTATACTGAGTGACTGATAAATGTTGTCTGAACTAAATAGAGTGCAATTAATGGCTTAGTAAAACCCTTCACCTCTATTCAGAAAAGCAATCCAACTCACAAGAGTACACTGGCAAATGAGTCATGTAGAATAGCTTTGGCTGTGATTACACATAACCCCAAATCTTAGTGGCTTATTACACAAGGCTTATTTTCACCCATATAAATTGTCCATCACAAGACATCTGGGGGCTCTGCTACATGTCTCCTCTCAGGGACTGGGGCCGAATAATCACCTCTGAAACGGGTGGTCCACACTGTAGAGGGAAAAAAGAGATTGTATGAGTTCGTGTCCTTTGTAGGGGCATGGATGAACCTGGAGAACATCATTCTCAGCAAAGTGACACAGAATAGAAAATGAAATACCGCATGTTCTCACTCATAGGCGGGTGATGAACAACGAGAACACATGGGCACAGGGAGGGGAGCACTACACACTGGGGTCCATTGGGGGGAATAGGGGAGGGACAGCGAGGCGGGGGAGTTGGGGAGAGATAGCATGGGGAGAAATGCCAGATAGAGGTGAAGGGGAGGAAGGCAGCAACTCACACTGCCACATGTGTACCTATGCAACTATCTTGCATGTTCTTCACATGTACCCCAAAACCTAAAATGCAATTAAAAAAATGAAAAAAGAAAAAAGAGATTGTGCACTGACTCTTAAAGCATATGCTGGAAAATGCAACGTCACTCTGCTTACATTTCATTGACCAAAGCAAGCCTTATTTGATATCGTATTTTCTTTTATGAAAGAATCTTCGTAGGTGCAATACGATTGCTAGCTGTGGGCCCCATGCTCTGCTAGGATCTGTTAGGGAAACAGATAAGGGAGTGCCTGTATTGGGCACTGGGAGAGGATCACACTATAGTGAGGAAGATAGGTATGTAAACAGATGTACTGTACTAGGTCTTGCAGGGGGAATGAGCTTTTAATGGACCGAGAAGAGATCTCCCTCCCTCCCTCCCTCCCTCCCTCCCTCCCTCCCTCCCTCCCTCCCTCCCTCCCTCCCTCCCTTCCTTCTTTTTGTTTTTTATTAGAGAAAGGGTCCTTCCCTGTCACTGAGGCTGAACTGCAGTGGTGCAATCATAGCTCATTACAACCTCTAACTTCTGGGCTCAAGCCATCTTTCTGCCTCAGCCTCTTGAGTGGCTAGGATACATGCACATGCCACCATGCCTAGCTAATTTTTTGTGTTTTATTTTTTTAGAAACAGGATCTCACTATGTTGCCCAGGCTGGTCTTGAACTCCTGGGCTCAAGTGATCTTACCTCCTTAGCCTCCCCAAGTGCTGGGATTACAGGTGTGAGCAGCCATACCCTGCCAAAGAGGGAGTTTCTTCCATAAACTCCACAGGGGTTCAGGTTCATGCTAGCTTACCAGCCCCTCATGTGGATAGCATATAGGCTTGAGGTCTGTGAACCTTTATATTCAGCATATATTTTTACATTTGTACTATCAAGCTTGCTGGGACTATTTGTTGTTTCAGTGTCTCCTCTCACTCTCCAGCTAAGAACAAGGACACCAAGACAAACAGACACAATTTAATTAGGTAGCAATTGGTCTCTGTTTCCTTAGTGGCTAGCAATGGTGGTAGAACATGGTACTTAATATGAGGATGTACATGGCATATAATGAATGAATGAGGGGATGAATGAATGAATGGCCATTCTTATATTAAGTACTGCTCTTGCAGCTTTTCATTTCTGGTTCTTCCAGGAGTCTTCCTTCAGCTCCTCTGTACACACGTCTCGGTTTGGACCTAGATTTCATTGCCTGTTTTCCTGCTTTTCCTCTGCCTTTGTTCTTAGCATGTGGCTTGTGACAAATGGCATTACTGTGGCCTTGTCATTGCAGGTTCTGTTTGTCTTCCAGGGTTTCTCCGCCTCCCACACTCTCTTGTCCCCTCTGAACTGAGGCATGATTTATGCTGCAATGTTCATTCTAAGGAGCAGGAAGCTGCTGGAAAATCCATGCTGCTTTTTATGTTTGTTGTTATGTGTACTGAGTTGAACAGTGTTCCTCCAAAATTCACGTCCCACCAGGATCTCACAATGTGACCTGATTTGGAGATTCGAAATCCAAATGTCAGAGACATCCGTGCTCCCATGTTTTTGGCAGTACTCTTCACAATAGCCAAGATGAGAAATCAATCTAAATGTCCATTAGTGGATGAATGGAAAAAGAAAATATGGTGGATATACATAACAGAACTATAGTCAGTCTTAAAGAAGAAGGAAATTCTACCACTTGTCGCGACATAGATGGACTTGGAGAATCTTAGGCTAAATAGAATAAGCCAGGTAGAGAATGACAAATGCTGCATGTTCTTGCTTATATATGGAATCTAAAACAGTGGAGCTTATAGAAGCAGAGAGTAGAATTTTGGTTCCCAGGGGCTGCAGGTTCAGGAGAATGTGGAGATGCTGGTCAAAGACTGCAAAGTTTCAGCTGGAGAGGAGGAATAAGTTTACCTATTGCATTGTGGCTATAGTTAATAATAATGTATATTTCAGACTTGCTAAAAGTAAATCTCCAGTGCTCTCACCACGAAAAATGAATATCCAAGGTGATGAAAATGTTAACTAGCTTGACTTAATCATTCTACACTGTGTATGAGTATTGTAACATCATATATTATAACATCATATTGTACTCCATTAGTATATTGTGAAATTATGATTTGTCAGTTTACAAGGACTAAAAAAGAAATGTGACCTTACTGGAAATGGGGTCTTTGCAGATCAGATGTAATTAGTTAAATTAAGACGAAGTCATAGTAGAGGAGCACAGACTGTAATTCAATGACTGGTGTCCTTATGGGAAGAGAAAACTGGAACACAGACAGACAGAAACACTCTGTCTCTCTCTCTCTCTCTCTCTCTCTCCACCACCAGCAGCAGCCATCAGCACCTAGGAAAGGGAATGGAAGCTGTCCTTGGAACCATTAGAGAAAGCCTGGCCCTGCTGACACCTTAAGTTTAAAGTTCTGTCTTCTAGAACTGAGAGAGGGTATGTTTCTATGGTTTTAAGTCACTCGGTTTGTGGTAATTTTCTAAAGCAGCCCCAGAAGAGGACTCCATGTTGCTCTTGTCTGGTTTTGCACTAGTAAATGATGAAGCAGCTTCTTTTCCCCACTGGTCTTCCCAGTCCTGGCACCTGGGCAGTAGGTGCTGCAGCCTCCGAGCTTTTGCAAACTGAGAGGGCGAGCTAAGCAGCTTTGCAGTAGTCCTCACAAAGGTCCTCAATCCAAACACCCGTCCCCTGAGGGCTCTGCTTCCTCATGATGGCCAAGTTGTCTTTGTTGGGCTCAGATAAGATCAGGTAAGAGCTAAAGGAGAGGCAAGGAAGAAATCTCTTTCTGAGGTATCTAGAGGTGGGGTCCGAGAAGGAAGGCTCAAATGGGAATTCTCTCTTCCAGCTTTGCTCTCTGAGGTCCTGAGGAGGTGGTTAGTGAAATGGTCAAGGAAGCCATAATAAATGTCCTCGTTCTATAGGCTCTGTCATTCTCATGGCTCAGGTCTCCTCCCCTGTTCTCTAACATCCCCACCCCTCTCCCAGCTACCACAACTCCCCAAATGTAGAATTAGTTCACTCCTATGAACTAATGTCAATAGCTTATAGGAGGATGAGTAGCAGCAGTAGTGCCAATAGCTAATATTTATTATGAAGTATTTATTGTGTGTCATGCCGTCTATTTAGTGATTTACAAACAGCAACCCCCTTTATCCTCACCAGCACCCCTATGAGATAGGTAATATTATTATCCCAACTTTACCAAGAGGAAACCAAGACCCAGAGAGGTCTCATAACTTGCCCAAGATCACACAGCTAGCAAGTGGCAGAGGAAGAATTTGAACCTAGCTAGTCAGACTACAAAGCCCCTGTAACCTAATGACTACTGATTATTACAATTCAACAGACCTTCCATTGTGGTCATAAAAATTTCTAAGATATGACTATTTTTAATTTACAAAACATCAATTTCATATAGTTTAAACTAACACATACCAAGCATCCTGAGCTAAATTCTGTACATAACAAGCACAAGATGGCTGGGATCATGTAATTTATTACCTTCTTTTTCTTAGCCTAGCACCTTCGCACATGTAGGTATCCTACAATGAGCATTGATTGTGGAGTAAGACGGACTTTGATCAGATCTGGGCTCTGTTACTTACTGACCGTGTGCTTTTATCTACAAGCTATTTCTCTTCTTCGAACTTCTGTTGAACTTCCTCTCCCTTATCTGTAAAATGCGGGGCATTACTTTTTATATCCCAAAGTAGCTGTAAGGATAAAATGAAATAATGTATTCAAAAGTGCCTGGAACACAATAAATGTTATCGAGAGAAAAGGGAGACACGCTGCACCCAACATCCAGTGACTTACAGTTAAGAGGAGGGAGCAGAGCTATTTGTAAATAATTCTTCCATGATGCATAGCTGGCCCACCAGAAATTAAATTTGGGGTCTTCCTTCACTTGAGAGAAGTTGCCAGTTGCTTCTGGGGTGTACGCCAGTGGACAAATACATGGAAGCAGACCTCCCGGAAGAACTGATGGAGGTGCTACTGGAGGGTGAGCAGTCCCCTCATCCCAAGAGAAATGTGTAACATAAGCCCTTGTTTCCTTAGTGGCAGAGGCAAAGCCACCTCAGCTAAGGAGACCAGGGTTTCCTGGGAGGGAAAGCAGTGATACTCCAGTCAGAGACATTGGTAAACTGAAGGTAGTGCTGCAGTTCAATGGACACATATCAAGAAAGGCAGAGTCAGCAGGCTAGAGAGGAATAAGGATAGCAGTCCGGTGGGCCCGAAATGTTTTTATTTAAATTATGTTATAATATGATACGAATAGAAATTACTACAAGGAAGATTTGTCCTCAAAATTATCCTCAGAAAAGCATCAAAAAATTTCCCGTATTTCAGGGCATATACCCAATCATATTGTTTTGAACAATAACCATTTCTCCTCTTTGTTGAAAAGCGCATTGGCCTGATACACCCTCCTTCAATTCTAATTTTAGGTACAAATGAGTCATCTGATAGAATGAGACCTGGAGAGAGATTAAATAAATTTTACCAATTGATCCTAGGAGGAATGGTTTCAAAATAGCATGTCTTCAGTATTGTTTCAAGTAAGCCCTTTAAAGATCTCTTACAGACCCAGCACAGTGGCTTATGCCTGTAATTTCAGCACTTTGGGGGGCTGAGGCAGGGGAATTGCTTGAACCTGGGAGGCAGAGGTTGCAGTGAGCCCAGATCACACCATTGCACTCCAGCCTGGATAACAGAGTGGGACTCTGTCACAGATAAAAGAAAAGAAAAAAAATTACTTAGTAGAGTGATATAGGTTGTAGTTCCATTGTGAAGATCAAGAATATCAAGATTATGCATTGTGTTACTCTATTATCAAGACTATGCATTGTGTTACTCTATTTTCATGGTTGCTGTAACAATTTATTCCAAATGCAAAGGCTTAAAACAACTCCGACTTATTATTCCCCAGTTATGGAGATTAGAAGTCCGAAAAATGTGTCACTGGGCTAAAATCAGGGTGTCCTGAGGGCTGCGTTCCCTCTGGAGATTCTCTGGAAGAATCCGTTTTCTTGTCTGTCTTTTCCAGCTCCTAGAAGCTGCATGCTTGGCTCATGGCCGTCTCTTCCATCTTCAGAGTAGGTTGGGTCACTCTTGTATCACATTCCTGTGGCCTGCCCTTCTGCAGTCTCTTCCACATTTAAGAACCCCTGTGATTACATTAGATGTAACCGGATGATCCAGGATAATCTCCATTCTTTAGGGTTAGTTGATTAGCAATCTTAATTCCATCTGCTACCTTAATTCCCCTATGCTATGCAACCTAACGTATTCACAGGTTCTGGGGGTTAGGACATCTTTGGGGGGCGATTATTTTTCCCATCACATGCACCTATAAGATTAAAAAAACAAAAATGAAAGCACCTCTCCTAAAGTAATGTGAATGGCTACTTGAGGCCTGAGATAAACCCCCCCTGACAGTGCCACATGTCAAGCAACACATATTACCAGAAGTTAATCTACTCGGAAAATTCTTACATGACTCATAAGTCATTTGTTAGAAACTGACCCTAATGATCAAGAAGTTAAAAAGTTTAGATAAAGTTGTTGCACAAATGAGAGATGAGAAAAAGTAATCTTTAAAAAAGTATAAGTAGTTCATTAAATATGTTAAGCAGATATTTGAATATTTTTGCTACACCCCTAAGGGTTATGTATTCGAGTTAGCCAAAACACTGACTTTTTAGGTGTTTTTATTTAAAAGCACAATCCTCTGATATTGGAATCACCTTATATTTGAGCATATGATAAACATATCTTTATTATAAAATTACTATATGATCTAAATAAAAATTCAAATGATCAGGAGGATAGATGACAAAAAATAAAGCTTTCTATTTGTCTCCTGACCCTATCCACCATTCTATCCCCTGGAAGTAACCATGGTTAACAGTTTCTTATACATCCTTGCAGAAATATTCTCACCTTATAGGCCTAAATAATCTGACTTTTGTTTATGTCTCTTAACACTCTTCTCCTGTTTCTATGCTCTAGCCACACTGCCTGGTTTTGTTCTAAAACATCTGAATAATTCCGGAAGTCCTCAGGACCTTTACACTTTCTGCTTCTCTTCCTGGCTGGAATATTTTACCCCAAAATCTTTACATCCTCAGCTCCTCCTTGTCTTTTAGGGATCAGCTCAAAACCTCTTATTCAGTGAGACTTTTCCTATGTCTGTGTATTCTCTATCATATAATTCTGTTTGTATCAGTCAGCTCAGGCTGCTGTAACAAAATACCCAACAGGAACTTGTTTTCTCACAGTTCTGGAGGCTAGGAAGTCCAAGGTCAAGGTGCCAGCCAATTTAGATCCCTGGTGAAGGTTCTTGTCTGGCTTGTAGATGACTGCCTTCTTGCTGTGTCCTCAAATGCCAGTGAGAACAAGCAAGCTTGTTTGTGTCTCTTCTTATAAGGGCACTAATCCCATCACAAGGACCCTCATCAAACCCCTGTTGCCTCCCAAAGGCCCCACCTCCAAATATCATCACAGTGGGAGTTAGGGCTTTAATCTAGAATCTTGGGGGGGACACAGTTCAGTCCATAGCACTGTTCCAGTTCTCATAAACTTATTACTAGTTGAAATTAGCATCTATTTAATTGCTTGTTAATGGCCCACATCCTACTATTAGAACATCAGAGAAGACCTTGTCTGTCTTTCTCAACAGCCCCTGTCTTTGAGCTTCCGTGAGCTGTCCCAGAAGGGCACCAGTCCTTGAAACAAACTAGTGATTGATTTTACTGACCTATTTGCCAAAAAGACTATCTCACAATGTCTTGACTATTTATAGGCTTTGCCTTGCTTTCTCCATAACAGAGCAGAAGGAATTATACCAGGATAGATTAGGTGTGGAGAGTGCCCAGTGCTGGACACATTCAAGCACCAGCAGTCCTCTTCAGAGCTGCGTTGTTCAACTTTACAAAGTGAAGAGATTTGTGTGGCTCATGCCTCAAGGCACTGCTCATCTGGTCAATCACGTGAAAAATGAATGTTGAGGATCTTTCCCTGGCTGCAAGTCCTCATGTTGATGATGAAATAAAGGCTCAGAGAGGATGAGGATGAGTGACCAGCTTGGGGTCTCACCTCTAGGGACAGAAGGAATTGGGGTTTGAATCCAGGTCCCCTGGACTAAAGAGCATCCTCATGGCAGCCCCACTGCCTTTTCTCATTTTAGTTGAACAGCCGTCTAAAGCTAGCCTCTGCTCAGATGGAGGCTCAGGTAGTTTGGCGTCAGAGGCCATCCTTTGCTATCAAAGGGCAATGGAACAGAAAAAAGTTCCAAATGTGTTCCCTGGAGTGGTGTGTCTACTTATCACCTGCGTGGCTTGGCAGAGGCAGCCTGTGTTTGGGGCTGAGAAGACCTTGTTCCCTTTAGTAGTTGTGAACATGAGGTTATGGCAAGAAAAACTGAACCAAGGAAGGAGGAGACTAGAACCAGGATCATCAATCCAGCTGGTTCATAGGGCTCATCAGGGATCCACCCTCACTCTGAAGCTCTGCCTCAATCAATTTCCACTATTTCTGTTGAAAACACAGACACACTACTAATGTATTCATTGGTGAATACACTTTTCAAAATTGGCAAGTAAGCAAACGCCGAGCAGGCTGCATTCAGTATCAATTTGTTTTTCAGTGAGTAAAGCCTACAAAGCAAGCAAAAGATGACTTCCCATGACCGCTCTTCTCACTTGAAATGGACACTGAGAAAGGAATGAAGCGCAGGTATAATCCAAGGCTTGGGTCATGCCTTGGTGCTTTGGGATGGCAGCACAGCCAAAGTGCCTTCAGATAAACAGAGACTGTGTCCGAAAAGCCTCTGTGGCCATTTGCAGTCAGGCACAGTCAGGTAAGATTCCTGAGGCCTCTGGTAGGCTCCATGTTGGGAACACCAGCAGGACTAACTCAGGCCCGAGTCTGGGAAGAGCCAGGCATTGAGGTCACACTCCTCCTACTGACTGTCCCTACACATGTGGGGAGGCAGAGCTCTACTGCTGGGTGAGAACTCTGCTCCTGGCTGCCGGGGCCATGGAGCACCCCACTTAGTGCTGACGGCACCCCTCATCCCACATCCACTCACTTTCCACCAAGGACTTCCATGGCCACCCCACTGTGAACAGAGATATAAGAAAAGAATGGTGATAGAGGGGGTGGGGTGAGTAGAGAAGGAAACGAAAGGGAAACACAGTGAGTGCGGTTGGGGAGGGAGATCGGGAGTGAGTGCAAAATCGTGGAGCACACGGTGTCAGTTGCTTAATGAGCCAGATTGCATCGTTGGTACCACATCATCACTTTTCTTTTTTTTTTTTTTCTTTGAGAGGTGGGGTCTCACTGTGTCACCCAGGCTGGAATGTAGTGGTGGTCATAGCTCACTGCAACCTCCAATTCCTGGGCTCAGGTGATCCTCCCACTTCAGCCTCCTGAGTAGCCTGGACTATGAGCACACACCACCATGCCCAGCTGATTTTTCTACTTTTTATAGAGACAGGGTTTTACTAGGTCACTCAGGCTAGTCTTAAACTTCTGGGCTCAAGAAATCCTTCCGCCTTGGCCTCCCAAACTGCTGGGATTACAGGCATGAGCCACTGTGGAGGGCCACAGCCTCGCTTTTCTGTGGACCCACACTCTGTGACTTTGCAGCTCCTCCCACTAGTAGGTCTCTCCAGCCTTGACTTCGGGTTTGGCCATCGACTAGCTTTGGCTGATAGAACGAGACAGCCTGTGACAGTGTCCTGGTCATGAGTCCAGACCATAGGAGGCCCTGCATGATCCTGCTTGCATTCCTGTGTCTGGGCTGCTGCCAGGAGAAGAATATCCTCAGTAGCCTGTTGGTCCAGAAGGAGGAGGGACATGTGGGGCAGAGCCTAGCTCTGTGTGGATGTCCTGGTGATCTATAGTTCTCTGAACAAATTCAACTGAGAGCAGCAGAACCACCCAACAGCTCAGCCAGATCAGCTGACCTCCATGTCCTAGAGAAATAATAAATGGGTGCTGTTTTAAACCATGGAATTTCAGAAGAGGTCTGTTGCACATTGATAGTGTGAGAGTTGCAGATATTAGAATGAAATCACCATTGTCAGACCCAGGCCAAATGGAGACGGGATGGCCAGAAGGAGAGGAGACTCATGCTTACGTGTCTGGGATAAGAACTATTTCCAGGGACTTTCTAAAAACCTTTGGAGAACTTCATGCGTCTCCTGCTTTGATAAGGTTTATTACCAGACATTCTTTAGAACTGCGGTAATTCACATAATATGTTCTTGAAAGAATACTAGCCCAGCAATGACATCTCCACCAATGAATTGACCAGAACTCTGGCTTCAAACCTCTGGAACCAATGAGCAGTTTCTAAGCAGCTTGTGTAAGTCTGTCTTTTGCTAATAAAAATCTCCTTACCCTTCCCTCACTGAATGCAGTGGAGGCTTGCCGTTTCATGCTCCAGATTATAATCTTTATTTCTATTCCTGACTTAACCCAACATATTTAGAGATAATTTTCTCTGGTGTCTTTTTTGTAGGTTGACAGTAGTTAACTGATATACTTGCTTAACAGCCACACACCTTTCTTCCTTGTGACATAATCTTGTTTTTCTTGATGATGGCAACATTACCATTTGCCAGATAATTTCTTTCTTAGCCTTTCTTGCAGCTAGGGATGACCCCAGGATCTAGTTTTGGCCGAGGAGACATAAAAGGAAATCCTATTTCTGGAAAAGATTTTCCTCCCTATCCAAAAGCAAAGCCCCCTTCTGCCCATCCTTTTCTTTTCTGCTTGGGCACTGGTGTGACTACGTAATGCCTGGATGTGTGGAAGCCCTCTGGTCACCATGAGGTCACAGGTTTGAGGATGAAGGATTTGTACACTGTGGGTGCCCAGACAGAAGGATGAGAAAAGCTTGGGTTCTTCATCACATCGTTGAGCAGCAGACAATCCCTGGGACCACTATGTCCAGGCTCTTACCTAGTAAACAGGAATTATTTTTATAGTTTTATTTTCTTTATTTATTTTTATTAAAAAAATTTTTTTTAAAGCCTACGGCACCCAGTATTCCCAGGCTATCTCCCATGCCAGTACTAACCAGGCCTGACCCTGTTTAGCTTCTGAGATCAGACGCGATCTGGCACATTCAGGGTGGAATGGCCATAGACATCTTTATGGTTTTAACTACTGTCTGTCAGATTTTCTGTTGTGGCAGAAAATGAATTCTTGAGCGGCAAGGGACATGATGAAGGTGGAGGAGGGAAGTGTGGGTGATAAGTTAGGATGCGTGTCATAGCGCAGTGCAAAGAATGTTGTACTGAGAATTAGGAGACCTTTTCCTAATTAGTAGTGTAACCCTGAGTAATTTACACAACTCTCTTGGCTGCGATGTCCTCTTCTGAGAAAAGAAGGCATGTACCTAGATGATCTCTAAGGTTTTTACAACTCTAACACTGATTCTGAACCTACAGCCAGGGCTCCAGGTGCCACAGCTGGGCAAATATTCACAGAGGATTTTGGAGAACCATTAATTATGTTCCAGGAAAAGATTGAGAATAGTGGTTTTATAGCAAATGCTTAGCTCTGGGCTTGCAAATAATGAGTTTCTTTTTCATTTCTGAGTTTGTGTCTCATGTGTGTGTTACCTGCCCTAGGGTACTTCCATGAGAGTGCTCATTAGATGCCTCATTTACAAAAAACAATTTGCATGCACGGGGCAAACGCTTCCTCTTCAGCAGCAGGTGTTGTGGGATGGAGAGAAACATGCTGGCTAATGCCTTGTCATCCAAATTCACAGAAATTTCTGGTATCCTGGGCAGGTTTAACACCATTCTAGGGAGAGAACGAAGGGAACACATCTGAATAAATTAGTCTGTTTAGTTTTTGGTTCGGCAGAATAGAGCCTTGGCAGGATCCCAGGGAAGCATCAGCAGGGGGAAAAATCACGTTATCTTCTGTTCTAGCCAACAGCATTTGCCTGCCCGGTCTGTGCAAAATGAACTTGCTTAGCTTTGCAGCCTTCTCCAGCTGCCACTGTTTCTCTCTGGCCTTCTGGTCACACATGACCCTGGCTCATTTAGCTTTCTTTAATGCTATAATTTTTCTCCCATACCATTTTTTCTTTGATATCTGTTTGCACTTCATGACAGTAATATTCATTCAGTTCTGTCTTTTTCTTCCCTTCTACCTTCTATTCTGTCTTCTTTATCCATAATCCACTACATTTTGAAAGCATTCTTTGACATTTGCACATCAGTGTTCCTAAAATCTACCAAGAATTCTGGGGACATGATTGCTCTCGGGTATCACAATTGTCTGATGTAATCATACAAAAATATTTTTACCAACTACTATTCGCTGCTCAAAGAGAAGTTCAAAGCTAGGATTTTGTTATAATTTTAAACTCTGTAAGCATGTTGGATAAAAGTGGAATTTGGAAGAAGGGCAAATTCTAGAGCAGAACCAGGGTAGGGCAGTGGAGACTCCCTGAACATGTGAACTGCATTCATTCAAGGAAACATTTTACATGTATCAAAGGTGACTGCGAAATTCTAGAACGCTGAGCTTAAGACTATAAAGGGAGACAAATCACCAAGTGCACACCCTTGTCATAGATGGATTTTATTTTATTTTTTTTTTGAGATGAAGTTTTACTCTTGTTGCCCAGGCTGCAATCTCTGCCTCCTGGGTTCAAGCAGTTTTCCTACCTCAGGCTCCTGAGCAGCTGGGATTACAGGCATGCACCACCACACCTGGATATTTTTGTATTTTTAGCAAAGACTGGGTTTCACCATGTTGGCCAGGCTGGTCCTGAACTCCCGACCTCAGGTGATTTACCTGCCTCAGCCTCCCAAAGTGTTGGGATTACAGGCATGAGCCACTGCACCCGGCTCTAGATGGAGCTTTCATAGAGGAGAAGCAGATGGAGTTGTCAAGGCAAAAATGTCCCCTTGCAGCCACATTTGCCCTCGGAGATACCAAAATCAATGTTGTATCTCCTCCTTACCAATTCTAAGCACTGAAGTGGAACCAAACACCAAAACCCCACTGGGCCCAACCAAAGACTCTTTCCTGACCAATGAATGACTGGATTTGTTTGAGCCAATCGGGTTCAGGCCTTTGGGTTCACTGGGGCCACCGGCAATGCTGGTGTTCAAACCTTAATTGCTGTGAGCCCTCACTTCCTAGATTGAAAATTCCCTAACTTTCTCCCTCTCTGCTAACTATTCAGTGAATTTCTTTACTAGAGTGTGCTTCCTTGCCTGGAAAGTTAATAAACTTGGTTTTGTGGATTTTATTTATTTTATACCTCTGGTGGCCTATGTTTTATTATTTTTTTCAGAATGCAGGCTGTCAGGAGCCAGCTATCACTTAACATCTGGCAGCAGCACATAAAAAATTCTGAACATTAAGAACAACTGAAAGAAACTCCCAAATCAAACCAAACCAAATAAAAAATATAAACCACAATGACAGCAGCAACAACATAATAACAGCAAATCTCACTCGTCAGACTGCCTTGCTTAGAAATGTTACCCAAAATAACTTCCTGACTCAGGTCATTTAAACTTGGAGTTGGTTTCAACTGGACTAAGCCAATTTCAATAGTGGTCTAGATTTGAATACTGATTCTAGGTGTTTATGTGACCTCCTTGTTTGGTTTAGCATTCAAAGTTTAGTAGACTGATAAAGAACCAAGGTCATAGGGCTGGGCACAGTGGCTCATGCCTGTAATCCCAGCACTCTTGGAGGCTGAGGAGGGGGGATCACCTGAGCTTAAGAGTTAATGACCAGCCTACCCAACATGTATTTTGTAAAAATACAAAAAATTAGCCGGGCATCGTGGCGGGTGCCTGTAATCCCAGCTATTCAGGAGGCTGAGGCAGGAGAATTGCTTGAACCTGGGAGGTGGGGAGGTTGTAGTGAGCCGAGATCGTGCCATTGCACTCCAGCCTGGGCGAGAAGAGCAAAACTCCATCTCAAAAAACAAAAACAAAAACAAAGATCCAAGGTTGTAAGGTTAACAAAAATCACTTGTTCATTAGTTTTCAATTATTCACCATGTCTGCAGCACAGTTTGGTAAATTTAGGTGGAAGCTGTGCATGTCTGACTTTTGTTCTATGAAACATAAATTTCCTCAGAAGAATACTCCCAGAATTTTAATTCATTTTGTTTTGTGGTATCATTAAAGGAACCAAGGAGATATTCAGTTGTAACTGGTGCTTCTGCAGCAGAATTTTCAAACCCTGGGAATTTTCGGAATCCTGTACACCATTCCTCGCTGAAAGAAACATCCGGCACTTTGCCCGTAAGTGTACTTTCCTCTTACGTCAAGACGCTGTTGTGATTTGTTTCACCCTTCACAGCAAATTATTAATGTACTTTATATTTGAGAAGGGAGTTTGTTGAAAATGTAGCAGAATCCACTTGATATACATCTTGCTGTAGCCTTAAAATATTACAACCCAATCTTGCTTCTGCCTCTGGCTGTTCCGATCTTTAACACATTTTGGTTTTTAAGGTGAATTACATGATGCTTTGCATATCCTGAATAAGATTGGGACCCACTGTCTTTGATGGTGGCCTTCCCTCTTATTGCCAGCCTCAAGTAAGGTTTATTCACTCATTGCCTACTGTCCAGGGTTTTATCCTGGGAATACACAAAATGGTGTTTGATTATCTTGCCTCTGCCTTCTGGGATTTCAACTTAAGCCATCTTCTTCTTCCCTCCCTCAAACATTTATTAAGACGCAGAAAAATAAACATGAGAGGAATTCTTCAATAATTAAAGAGACAGGCCAGAACAAAGGCTCCTCCAAAGAACGAATGCTTAATGGCATGTTTCCAGAATGTAGGCTGCAGGAGAATGTGCACCTGGGGTGGTAGGAGATCCAAGGAAGGAGGTTAAATTATGGTTTATTTCTTATCCTTTTGTAGAACTCTTTCTGCAAGACATAGTTTCTTGGAGGATGTAGCAGTTATCAACTGCTGTATAACAAACTACCGTAAAACTGAGTGGCTTAAAAAGCACAATGATGTATTATCTCTAATGATCCTTAGGGCTGGAAATCTGGGTGGTTCTGTTACCTGTCTTGCCTGGACTCACTTACTTGGCTGTCTTCACCTGGGAGTTTGGGGCTGAGGGTCTAAGATGGTATCACTTACTGTCAGCAGATGGTGCTGACTATGGGATGGGATGTCTCTGTTCTTTTTTACATGATCTCTTATCCTCTAATAGACCAGAATGGACTTCTTCACAGCATGGTGTCTCAGGGTCCTAAGACTTAGGCTCTAAAACTTGCACGATGCTACTTCTGCTGCATTCTATTGGTCCAAGTAAGTTTTAAGAACCTTCTAGATTCAACAGGTGGAGAAATAGACTCCATCTTTTAATGGAAGGACCAAAGGGGCATAGACCCACAAAGCCATAATTCACTGTCGTTACTATGACAATCGGTCACAGCAGAACTGGGCTCAAATGAACGGGGATGAGGGGAGGGCTAGGAGATAGGAGGAGAAGAATTTCAGAGTTGAAGACAGACTACCTTCAAAATCTTCTTCCTGTCTGCAATTATAGGATTCTCATGTGTCAGCAAAAGGTAGGTTGTCCCAGGTATTTGTTTCTGGGGAAACAGGCTCAAAGGGATGTATTAGTGAAGGAAAAATAATTAATGCTAGCAATTTTATTAATGTTTGGCACTTAGGGGAAAATATATAAAATGGAAAAGCAGAACAAATAAGAACACCAAAGAGAGGTGGGGAGGTTATGTACTCAGATGCAAGTGCACTAACACAAGATTTTATCAGGAAATTATATATACATGGTAGGCTGTATGTATATATTTTAGCATACACACGAAATGCTTTGTGCTGTAAGATAAAGTCAACTTTAGGATTGAAGCTTTTAAAGGTGATTTTCCTTTTTATAGCCCTGCAATTTAGGTAGGCCATCACAGGGCGAAAGACATGCAGGTCCTTTTATTCAAGTCTCTTAGAGTCATAATCATGAATTTCTTATACATAGTCAGGACATGTGTAACACTTTATTAAAGGAATTTAACCTAAAAAACATTATAAACTCATTTTTTCTAACAGGAATGTTAGAAAAAATTCTCATAGCACATTTTATACCTTTCTCATCAATCTTTGACTTTTCCATATTCATTTTCTCTGAATCTAAAATCAATAGTCTTTCCAAATAGTTTCTGTCTTAGCAGCTACTATTGTTTTTTGGTCATAGACACAAGAGCACTTCAGTCTTCCTCCCTTCTGAGGTTAGTGGACTTGATTAAATACATAGCTTTAGTTTTCTTTCCAGCATGCCATGTCTCTATTTTCTTTATCATGCAGAAGTGAAAAAATGTCAAATAAAAGAGGAAGGTGTCACAGAGATCAGTTTTGTCTTTATCCACTGCTAGTTGACCCTTGCATTTATTTTTGCATCTTTTCTTCCTTTTAATTGACTTCTTTAACCAGAGCTAGTCTGGGCCTGAATGAAACATAGGCAGCTTACACTTTCTCCTTTCTTTGCAATCAATAACCCTTCCTTACAAGGTGCTGCAGGGCCTCTGCCCTAGACTATCAATCTTTTCAGGTGTCATAACTTCAGGCTTCTATGGCAACCTTCTTGGTGGACCTACAACAATTTTTAACAGTTTGAAAATCAATCTTAAAGGTTTGAAAGGGTAACTCATACCACTGTTATTATATAAATGTCTTCTTTATTCCTTGAGCCAGGACAACTCAAGTAAACAAGGAAATAAGCAAGAAAACAAAAATCACTCATTTGGAGATGATGACTCTTAAGTATGTGTCTTAACTATGCCCCACGCTGAGACATTTTTTTGAGACGTGTTCTGGTTAGTTTTAAGTGAGCTTACCTAATTCTCTTCCTTCAACAGACCTCAAAAATCACAAACAACGGCCCTCTTCATTCACCAACTCAAGCAATGGTGAATCTCCACTTGGCGTTGTGGTGTGGCGGGTCTATGTGGTACTTCACACAGTACTCTGTGTGAGGGTGTTGAAGATGATCCTGAGGTCCCAGTTCTCTGGAGGGAGCCTGGCGGGTAGTTAGCCTCTGCTGAATCTCAGTCTAGCAGTGCAAGGTCAAAACCCAAAAATGCGCTCAATCTTGAGTTATTGAAGTTGGATGAAAAGTGAAGTCATTATTGGGCACGACATCTGGTGTTTCAGTCCCAAGGCCACAAGCAGAATGCTACAGTCTCTGAAGCTTAATGATTTTGTATTTCACATAGCCACTTAAGTTTTTCACAGCCTGAACTCAATTAACTTTCACAGCCCACTGTGGAGGTGGAGAGGGAAGTGCCATACATTTTTGCAGTAGATGTAATAGCCTGTCATTGATCACTCGTTTGCATGAACACCAAAACTTTGCCTACACTTCCAGGAGGACAAAGAAGCCTCCTAAGGGTCTTGTCTGTGAATCAGGTGCCACAGGTCCTCTGCTCTAGACTATCAGTCTTTTCAGCTGGCCATTTGGAGGGCATTACAGGGCAAATCATGCGTAGTTGAAACCCATGGCCTGTGCCTATGGGCAGAGCTGCCTGTTGATGGGCAGAAAGGACAGCTCTAGATAGCAAGCATGTGAACAACACCCCCTGGTGTTGGTGAGGGTGGATCAACAGGCACAGACATAAACTGTCAGGGCTGTAACAGGAGCAGCCTTTCCTATCGACAGTGCTCAGGCAATGGGGTATCAGTGTGGTGATATATCATCATTCTAATTGGCTGTTTGGGTTTCATTGTATGGGTATGTTATAATTTATTTAATCAACATTTAAGTTGTTTTCAATTTTTCACCATTACAAAAATGCTTAATGACTTGTATATATTTCTCTGTTACTTTCTCTGTCACTTTGACCCATTATATCATTGGGGTGGGGGGAAGAAAATCCCACGAATGGAATTGTTGGTTCAAACTTTAAAATACTAGTACACGGAGTCAAGTGACCATCTAAAAAAGTTGTGTGCCAAAATTATAAATCAATTGCCTATGTTTTATTTTAGTATTTTAATGAAATTGTATATTTTTATGTCTAGATATTTGCTCCTTCTGAAATTTATTTGGGCATAGAGATTTGTCATTTCTATTTTGTCTAAATGACTAGTCAGTTTTTCCAACTCATTTTGTTGGTAGTCCACCATGATCATGTATCAGACTCTCACACACACATGAGTCTCTTTCAGAATTCTGGATTCTGTGCTATTGAGCTTTCTGTTGTTATATAACGTTTTAATGTTTATACTTGTATGCTTCTAACATCTAATAGGACAAATGCTCTCTCATTATTTTGCCTGGCTATTTATGCATGCTTATTCATTCAGAAGAAATTTGAAATCAGTTTTTTCCATAACAGAGAAAAAAGTCCTAAATGATTTTTGATTTGGATTTCCATTAAATTTAGTTTTATTTCAAAAGAATTGTTATGTTTACAATATGTAGTACATGTTAAAAAAGAGGATGTAGTTTTCCTTGTAGTCAAACATCTTATGTTTCTCAATAGAATTTTACTGCTTTCTTCACATGTCATGCACATGACTTATTAAACTTTATTCCTAGCAGTTATATACATATATAAAACAATATATATTTATACATATGTGTTATAAATGCATTCCTAAGAGTCATGTGTATATATATATGTTATATATAATGATCTATGTAAATATATAGATAACATATATAATAATATATATGCTATATATTTGTGTATGTTGTAACTGTATGTATAACTGTCTTCCTAAGAGTTATATATAATATATATAAACTATTATTTATATAATATATAAACTATTATATATAAAATATACAATATATAGGTAGCTCTATATATAGAGTTTTATATATATAAAACTATAATATATACATATAAAACTAGGAACATAGTTATAACACATATGTAATATTAATATCTATATAAGTTACACATATATTACATACATTATATATTTGGTAGCAATGGGGTTGCTGAGGCTGGTCTCGAACTCCTGAGCTCAAGCAATTTTCCTACCTTGGCCTCCTAACGTGCTGGGATTACAGGCATGAGACACCATGCCTGGACTGGAATTGTGCTTTTTTTGATTTTATTATTCAAGTGATTCCCCTGGTCCCACTTATAGGTCTCTAGCCTGCTCCACTGGAGTAGGCTAATCTGCTTTGCCCCTGGTTGTCCAGTCGTCTGGGAGCTCCACTTTGGACTTTGACTGACACCTGCAAGGGTCAGCGGAGTGAAGAGGCTGGGCCAGGCCCCCTGCCTTTGCCTCTTGCTCCTTCAGTCCTTGTCC